ACAATAACCATAACGCGTTGTTCAGTATAAACCTGGGATTATGAATTATATTGAGAACATCATACATAGAAAACATGCCGTAATGTACCCTGAGTGTAAACCTTAGACGCATTCATTGTGAAGCGTGCAGCTAGCGATTTGCAAAGATTAATATAAATATTAATATAAAGTTTAATAAAACGTTACACTCACTTCAGCTCAAAACCAGTTTTATACTGATCCTCGTTTATAAAGCAGTCTGGGGAGAAATGATTCGCGCAAACATGAGAGCAGTGACGTTGCTCGTGGGGAATATTCCCTTCGAAAACAAACTCAGCCACTGCGTCTTCAGCGGTTCGGATTTAGGAACATTAAAATGACTGTGTTCGTTATTACACCCAAGAACAGAACACCACAATCGCTTAGAGCCATTCTGCTCATAGACAGCTCCAGCATATCAACAATGACCGCGCCGGTCCGCGCAGACTATGATTGACAGCTCTCACGAGTGAGGGCGGGTCTGTGTTGAAACCCTCCTGTCAATCAACAATCGTGGGAGGGGCTTCCGAGCTTGTGACGTCACACGGTCGAACGGCTTGATTTGAGGCAGGGGAAAACATATAAGGAGATTAAAACAAAAACACTGGATGGATTTTTATCATTTTATGATGGTTGTGTACAGGCACTGCCAAAACACATTTCAGTACAATCAACTTGTAAAAGTGCATGTACCATTATATGACCCCTTTAACCTCGTTCTAATGTAATGAAGTATTGTAAATGAGTGCTCATTTGCATACAACACACAATCATGCCCATATAAGGGCTTTCCTCGAGCGTTCCTCTAAGCCAGTGTTCTGTGTCAGGATCATCATTATTATCCAGATCAGTGTTCTCGTCTGATAGTGTCGGTCAGTCAGATCAATAATATTACGGGATGTTTCTCAAGTGTTCCTAGAATACATTTTAGGAACACAAACGTCAGTAACAGATGAATCATCATTAGTTGGCGAGAAGTGTTCGTACGCATGTGTGAGAGAGAAACACTGATTCAGGATCAGACACAGAAACACGAACTGTCAGATGATGATTCAGTGTTCGGGAACATTTGATTAATATATGTGTGTGTGTGTGTGAGAGAGAGCGTGTGTGTGTGAGTACGAGTGTGTGTGTGTGTGTGTGTGTGAGAGAGAGCGTGTGTGTGTGAGTACGAGTGTGTGTGTGTGTGTGTGAGAGAGAGTGTGTGTGTGTGGGTGTGCAAGTGTGTGTGAGAGAGAGTGTGTGTGAGAGAGTGTGTGTGCTGGAATGTGTGTGACACTCGTCATCGTGTGTGTGACACTTGTCATTGTGTGTGTGAAAGTATATATTGTACAAAATAATTTGGGTCCTGAAATTGCTAGAAAAGCCGTTCATGTATTTGTGAAGTTGATATCACAATAAAAGTAACGCAACGTCTGATTTCGTAACGGTTTTCACTGGATGAACTTTGCGTGTTCAAGCTTTCCAGTGATTCACAGTTTATGATGATTATTGTAACGTGTGAAATATGCCATCGTCCCGCTAACGGGGGAACGTCTGAGCAATAGTTCAGTTAGATTAGATATTTATGGGTTAATTAATCAATATGTGCGCTTTATGAGTTATGTCTAAATGAAGACCGTGAAGTGAGTCATCAGATGTTGGTCTGAATCTGCCATGTGTCGAATTCCTTCATGAAGCGCTTTAGAGCTAAAAATACTGTAGTGAGGGTTTATAGACGCGCAGCTGCTGTACTGAGAGAGTGTGTGTGTGAGAGTGTGTGAGAGCTTTGAACTGACAGAGTGTGTCTGCTTCCCGGACAATGGTAGGAAGACTGTTCCAGAGTTTTGGTGCTAAATAGGAAAAGGATCTCCCGCCAGCAGTCGATTTAGATATTCTAGGTATTATCAACTGGCCGGAATTTTGAGATCGCAATAGACGTGAAGGACTATAATGCGTTAAGAGCTCGCTCAAGCACTGGGAGCTAAACCATTTAGTGCTTTGTAGGTAATCAACAATATTAAAAAAAAATTATACGATGTTTAATAGGCAGCCAATGCAGTGTTGACAGAACCGGGCTAATATGGTCATACTTCCTGGTTCTGGTAAGAACTCGAGCGGCTGCGTTTTGAACTAGCTGGAGTTTGTTTATTAAGCGTGCAGGGCAACCACCCAGTAGAGCATTACAGTAATCTAGCCTTGATGTCATGAACGCATGAACTAACTGTTCCGCATTCGTTAATGAGAGCATATGGCGTAATTTAGATATATTTTTAAGATGGAAGAATGCGGTTCTACAGATACTAGACACGTGACTTTCAAATGAAAGATTGGTATCTCAGAGCACACACACACACACACACACACACACACACACACACACACACACACACAGGTTCCTAACCGACGACGAGGACTTGACAGAGCAGCCATCAAGTGTTAGACAGTATTCTGGGTTATTACGTGTGGAAGTTTTTTGTCCAATAATTAGAATCTCTGTTTTTTCAGAATTTATTCGTAGGAAATTACTAGTCACCCAATTTTTTATATCAGCTATGCATTCCGTTAATTTTGTGAATTGGTAAGTTTCGTCGGGGCGTGAAGAAATATACAGCTGAGTATCATCAGCATAACAGTGAAAGCTAACTCCATGTTCCCTAATGATATCTCCAAATGGTAGCATGTACAGAGTGTGTGTGTGTGTGTGTGTGTGTGTGTGTGTGTGTGTGTGTGTGTGTGTGTGTGTGTGTGTGTGTGTGTGTGTGTGTGTGTGTGTGTGTGTGTGTGTGTGTAGCATGTACAGAGTGAACAGCAACGGTCCTAGTACTGAGCCTTGTGGTACGCCATACTGAACTTGTGATCGATAAGACATCTCTTCATTTACTGCTACAAACTGATAACGGTCAGTTAAGTATGATTTAAACCATGCTAATGCAACTCCACTAATGTCAACATAGTTTTCTAGTCTATTTAAAAGAATGTTGTGGTCAATGGTGTCAAATGCAGCACTAAGATCGAGTAACACTAATAGAGAGATACAACCACGATCGGATGATAAGAGCAAATCATTTGTGACTCTGATGAGAGCTGTCTCAGTGCTATGGTACGGTCTAAATCCGGACTGAAAATCCTCGCAGATATCATTTCTTTCTAGAAAGGAACACAGTTGTGAGGATACTGCTTTTTCTAATATCTTTGACAGAAAAGGCAGATTCGAGATCGGCCTGTAATTGACTAATTCTGTATGATCAAGTTGTGGTTTTTTAACAAGCGGTTTTATCATAGCCAGCTTAAAGGTTTTTGGTACGTATCCTAGAGACAAAGATGAATTAATGATATTAAGAAGAGGATCTATGACCTCTGGAAACATCTCTTTCAGTAGCTTAGTCGGTATAGGGTCTAACATACAAGTTGTCGATTTAGATGATTTAACGAGTTTGCAGAATTCTTCCTCTCCTATGGCAACAAATGAATAAAATTTTTCCTCAGAGAGACTACAATGCACTGCCTGATGTGATACTGTAGTAGACGGTTGCATAGTTATAATTTTGTCCCTAATATTATTTATCTTATAAGTGAAGAAATTCATAAAGTCATTACTGCTGTGCTGCTTGGACACTTCTGGGGTTGAGGCTTTATTTTTTGTTAGTTTAGCCCCTGTTTCAGTGTGTGTGTGTGTGTGTGTGTGTGTGTGTCACAGCAATCTTCCCAGAGCTGTGATTCTCCCTTCAGCTTTGAAAACATGCAGGATCCATTAGCTTTAGCCTAGATACGTCAAAACACTTACTGAAACTGAGTCTGAAATGAACCCTTCATTCCTGACACACATTTGCTTTTATCCCATGTGTGTATGAACACACACACACACACACACACACACACACCCCATCATCATCATCATCTATGATTATATATTGACTGTAATGAATCAAACGAATCCCCTCTTTCTCCGGTGTGTGTGTGTGTGTGAGTGTGTGTGTGTGTGAGTGTGTGTGTGTGTGTTCCTGTTCTCCTGCTTTTGTCCAGGATGTCCTACATCTGCATCTCCAGCGGCTCTGCTAAAGATAACGCTCCCCTTTACTCTTAATTATAGATGATAATGTTGAGTCTAATTAATGTCCTCGCCGCTAATGCGGCCTGACGGGTTCCTGCCCGAGAGACTCAGCCGAACACACACGCACACACACACACTTCCGCACACACACACTCGCGCGCACACACACACTCGCGCACTCACACACTCGCGCACACACACACACACACACACACTCGCGCACTCACACACTCGCGCGCACACACGCACACATACACACTCTCTCTCTGTCACACATGCACACACACACACACACACACTCACACTCTCTCTCTCTCTCTCTCTCTCTCTCTCTCTCTCTCTCTCTCTCTCTGTCACACACACTCTCTGTCACACACACACACGTGCACACACACACACACACACACACTATTGTCCTGCTGTAGAGGCGTGTGTCACTCGTGTGCGTTGACATGTTCTTCACTCGTGTGTGTTGGTCTGAAACTCTTCAGTTCTTCATCAGGACAATTATCATATTCAGCTCGAGTCACATTATTCACATCCAGTGCTTTCTACAGGAGAGATCGCTTCCGCTTCACAGTGATAAACAGAATCAGATATGAGACGCGTTCAGATTCAGAAGTGTCATTATTCAGATCAGTCCAATCCATAATATCACTGAATATTTCTTGAGTGTCTCTTCATCTTATACAGCGACTAAAACACTGCATTTATATATGTGTGTGTGTGTGTGTGTGTCTGCAGTGTATCTCTCTCTGTATCAGTTCTTCTGTATTTTCCTGAACTGAAGTGTTTTATTTCAGGATGTATTATTGATATTTTATTGATATGATCATGAAACTTTCAGAACTGGTCACATGTTCACTCCAGTGTGTGAGGAAAGTGATTTGTCCAGTGATAATGCATGAGAAGCTCTTATCCTGCAGCTGACGGGTCTCCTCTGTTCCAGCGCGTCCGGGACGTGTGTGTGGAGTTCAGCCACCCGGATCTGCTGGAGTTCTACACTCAGGTCAGAGCCAATCCCAATCCCACACGACTGATCCGTGATCAGCGGTCACACGCTCATGTTCTGTGTGTGTGTGTGTGTGTGTGTGTGTTACAGATGGAGAGGATTCAGACGCAGCTGGACTCGCTCACGTGACCTGCATCTGGAGTGTGTGTGTGTGAAACGCTGACGTCGAGGTGATGATGAAGAGGATCACACACACCTGATGATGATGATGATGATGTCATTAAACATGTTTCATTTTGCTCTGAAAGTCCAGCGTCTTCATTTCTGACTCTCGGCTCTTCCGCTCGAGCGTCTCAGGAACTGTGGAGAGTTTGAGATCTAATGGTCTGAAGCTCTTCACACTCGCAGGAGGAAGAGTGTGTCGAGTGTGTGTGTGTGTGCTTAACTCGCTCTCCCCGCGTGACTCCGCTTGAAACATCGCTGAACACAGTGGACAGGGTTATTATAGCTAACAAAACTAAAAAAAAACAATACGCAACAATTTCGTTACGTGAAATATAATAAAACATACCCAAACTGAAACGTACTTTATTTTAGCTGGTAACTTATAGAAATAATCATGAGCGTCATATAAAAACAAGCATATAAAAATAGTACGACAAAAATGCCAAAGAATAAAGACGCGTTTTGAATGTGGATTTCGAAGCGAATCTGAAGCAAAAACTCAAACTGTGTGAGACGATCGTGATTATCAGCAGATCTGGGATCTGCATCAACATCCACTCATAATCCACTCATGATCCACTCATGATCCACTCATAATCAACTCATAATCCACTCATAATCCACTCATAATCCACTCATAATCCACTCATAATCCACTCATGATCCACTCATAATCAACTCATGATCCACTCATAATCCACTCATAATCAACTCATGATCAACTCATAATCCACTCATAATCCACTCATAATCCACTCATAATCAACTCATGATCCACTCATGATCCACTCATAATCAACTCATGATCCACTCATGATCCACTCATAATCAACTCATAATCCACTCATAATCAACTCATGATCCACTCATGATCAACTCATGATCCACTCATAATCAACTCATAATCCACTTGATCCACTCATGATCCACTCGTAATCCACTCATAATCCACTTGATCCACTCATGATCCACTCGTAATCCACTCATAATCCACTCATAATCAACTCATGATCCACTCATGATCCACTCATAATCAACTCATGATCCACTCATGATCCACTCATAATCAACTCATAATCCACTTGATCCACTCATGATCCACTCGTAATCCACTCATAATCCACTCATGATCCACTCATGATCCACTCATAATCAACTCATAATCCACTTGATCCACTCATGATCCACTCATGATCCACTCATAATCAACTCATGATCCACTCATGATCCACTCATAATCAACTCATAATCCACTCATGATCCACTCATGATCCACTCATGATCCACTCATAATCCACACATAATCCACTCATAATCAACTCATGATCCACTCATGATCAACTCATGATCCACTCATAATCAACTCATAATCCACTCATGATCCACTCATAATCCACTCGTAATCCACTCATAATCCACTCATGATCCACTCATAATCAACTCATAATCCACTCATGATCCACTCATGATCCACTCATAATCAACTCACAATCAACTCATGATCCACTCATGATCCACTCATGATCCACTCATAATCAACTCATGATCCACTCATGATCCACTCATAATCAACTCACAATCAACTCATGATCCACTCATGATCCACTCATGATCCACTCATAATCAACTCATGATCCACTCATGATCCACTCATAATCAACTCATGATCCACTCATGATCCACTCATAATCCACTCGTAATCAACTCATGATCCACTCATGATCCACTTATGATCAACTCATAATCCACTCATGATCCACTCATGATCCACTCATAATCCACTCATGATCCACTCATGATCCACTCATAATCAACTCATGATCCACTCATGATCCACTCATAATCAACTCATAATCCACTCATGATCCACTCATGATCCACTCATAATCCACTCATAATCCACTCATGATCCACTCATGATCCACTCATAATCAACTCATAATCCACTCATGATCCACTCATGATCCACTCATAATCAACTCATAATCCACTCATGATCCACTCATGATCCACTCATAATCAACTCATGATCCACTCATAATCAACTCATGATCCACTCATAATCAACTCATAATCCACTCATGATCCACTCATGATCCACTCATAATCCACTCGTAATCAACTCATGATCCACTCATGATCCACTTATGATCAACTCATAATCCACTCATGATCCACTCATGATCCACTCATAATCCACTCATGATCCACTCATGATCCACTCATAATCAACTCATGATCCACTCATGATCCACTCATAATCAACTCATAATCCACTCATGATCCACTCATGATCCACTCATAATCCACTCATGATCCACTCATAATCCACTCATAATCCACTCATGATCCACTCATAATCAACTCATGATCCACTCATAATCCACTCATAATCAACTCACAATCAACTCATGATCCACTCATAATCCACTCATGATCCACTCATGATCAACTCATGATCCACTCATGATCCACTCATAATCCACTCATGATCCACTCATGATCCACTCATAATCCACTCATGATCCACTCATAATCCACTCATGATCCACTCATAATCAACTCATGATCCACTCATGATCCACTCATGATCCACTCATAATCCACTCATGATCCACTCATGATCCACTCATAATCAACTCATGATCCACTCCACTCATGATCCACTCATAATCCACTCATAATCCACTCATGATCCACTCATAATCCACTCATAATCCACTCATAATCCACTCATGATCCACTCATAATCCACTCATGATCCACTCATAATCCACTCATGATCCACTCATGATCCACTCATAATCCACTCATGATCCACTCATGATCCACTCATGATCCACTCATAATCCACTCATAATCCACTCATGATCCACTCATAATCCACTCATGATCCACTCATGATCCACTCATAATCCACTCATAATCCACTCATGATCCACTCATGATCCACTCATGATCCACTCATAATCCACTCATGATCCACTCATGATCCACTCATGATCCACTCATGATCCACTCATGATCCACTCATAATCCACTCATAATCCACTCATGATCCACTCATAATCCACTCATGATCCACTCATGATCCACTCATGATCCACTCATAATCCACTCATAATCCACTCATGATCCACTCATGATCCACTCATGATCCACTCATAATCCACTCATAATCCACTCATGATCCACTCATGATCCACTCATGATCCACTCATGATCCACTCATGATCCACTCATGATCCACTCATAATCAACTCATAATCCACTTGATCCACTCATGATCCACTCGTAATCCACTCATGATCCACTCATAATCCACTCGTAATCAACTCATGATCCACTCATGATCCACTCATGATCCACTCATAATCAACTCATGATCCACTCATAATCAACTCATGATCCACTCATAATCAACTCATGATCCACTCATAATCCACTCATGATCCACTCATAATCCACTCGTAATCAACTCATGATCCACTCATGATCCACTCATGATCCACTCATAATCAACTCATGATCCACTCATAATCAACTCATGATCCACTCATGATCAACTCATGATCCACTCATAATCCACTCATAATCAACTCATGATCCACTCATGATCAACTCATGATCCACTCATAATCCACTCATAATCCACTCATGATCCACTCATGATCCACTCATAATCCACTCATAATCCTCGTAATCAACTCATGATCCACTCATGATCCACTCATGATCCACTCATAATCAACTCATAATCCACTTGATCCACTCATGATCCACTCGTAATCCACTCATAATCCACTCATGATCCACTCATGATCCACTCATAATCCACTCATGATCCACTCATGATCCACTCATAATCCACTCATGATCCACTCATGATCCACTCATAATCAACTCATGATCCACTCATAATCAACTCATGATCCACTCATAATCAACTCATGATCCACTCATAATCAACTCATGATCCACTCATGATCAACTCATGATCCACTCATAATCCACTCATAATCCACTCATGATCCACTCATAATCCACTCATGATCCACTCATGATCCACTCATAATCCACTCATGATCCACTCATAATCCACTCGTAATCAACTCATGATCCACTCATGATCCACTCATGATCCACTCATAATCAACTCATAATCCACTTGATCCACTCGTAATCCACTCATAATCCACTCATGATCCACTCATGATCCACTCATAATCCACTCATGATCCACTCATAATCCACTCGTAATCAACTCATGATCCACTCATGATCCACTCATAATCAACTCATAATCCACTTGATCCACTCATAATCCACTCATGATCCACTCATGATCCACTCGTAATCCACTCATAATCCACTCATGATCCACTCATAATCCACTCATAATCCACTCGTGATTCCTTCCTGGCCTTATTGAAAATTATTCAATCAGTGAACCTTAGCATTTTTCAGTAAAGTATTTTTAAAAATGACAGGATGTTCATCACTACAGAGATGTTTAATGCCGATGTCAAACGCCTCTGATCTCAGGTCAGCTTAAGCCGCTTCACAGTCATAACCATTAAAATAACAGAATCAATGATGAAAACCATCAAATATGAGACAAATTCAGAATCAGCGGCGCTAAAAACACAAGAGTCATTATTCAGATCAGTTCAGTGTTCTCAGATCAGTTCAGTGTTCTCAGATCAGTTCAGTGATGTTCTCAGATCAGTTCAGTGTTGTTCTCAGATCAGTTCAGTGATGTTCTCAGATCAGTTCAGTGATGTTCTCAGTTCAGTTCAGTGTTGTTCTCAGTTCAGTTCAGTGTTGTTCTCAGATCAGTTCAGTGATGTTCTCAGATCAGTTCAGTGATGTTCTCAGATCAGTTTAGTGTTGTTCTCAGATCAGTTCAGTGTTCTCGTCTGATAGTGTCAGATCAATAATATTACTGGATATTAAGAGTCGTTTAAACTCCGTCAGTTGACAGAAAAGCAGATCTGCTGCATCATGGTGGCGCTCTGCTGTTATTGCTAGTAGTTTTTGAAGGTTGCCGTTGAACGTCCCACAGCAGCTTCTA